TGGTTAACCGTTCCGATTTAAAAAAAATATATAATTAAGTTTGCGTATGAAAAGTGAAATTGGACAGGGAATATTATTGTTATTCATAAGCTGAATTCTCGTTATGTTCTCACGAAATATTTGCTCCAGCACAACGAAATACATCTACATAGGCTCTGTTACAAAAATCGGTGTAATTTTTCAAGATAGTACAATTTGTGAAAGATTTCAAAAGAGAGATTTCACTCATACATGATAGGAAGCTGCAATCGCACATTGAATAATTTTGTGCAACGCTCTGTAGAATAAACCCTCCAATGTGGTATATTTGGTTTCACTCAGAGGTGTCAACAATTGAGTCTTCATATACTTCCATTGAATAGCGATACTACCGATACGGTTAAAAATTATTCATATTACCGGGTTGCTGAAGCAGACGACATTCGCTCAAATTAAAAGTCACTTGAAGTAAACACAAAATTGCGGGTTGCCAAACCTTGCAGAAAAAGAAATTAGTTGGCCGTGCAACCAGATTTACTTTTATTCTCTCCACGCGTCTTTTATATAAAGTGGACCCTACACGTTTGCTTTTATTGACAATAATCGTATTGTCAATACATTCAATATTGACGTCAATACATCGGTATTGACAATAATTCTGTATTCACATCATCAATATAATTGTCAATAATTCCTCTTCGCGTCAATATATTGATACGTGTGGGGTTCGCTTAACATCGTCTCTGGTGCTCTGGCGCTAATTTGACAGCTCCTCCTTTTCCTCTATGTTTAAGCTTGGTACATGTCGGAAAATACAGGCATAACATTTGATAACGGCACAAAAGCTTTTGTAAACAAACTTTCTAAAACCCTTTACACGCGAACCAAAGTACGCAAACCAACAACATCATCGGATAGGGGCAACTATCACCTTTCCGAAAGTGGTATTGGTTTGTGTGAGTGTACTTTGGTTCGCGTTGAAAGGGCCTTAGAAAGTTTTTTTACAAATGCTTTTGTGCCGTTATCAAATGTTATGCCTGAATAGATAGAGTTTTCTAGATATCGTTATAGGAAAGCATGAGCCACGCAAATTGTGCTCGTCAATAGAGATTTTCACGTTCGGATGTATTGGTGCGATATGTGAGAGCGTGTTAGTGAATATCCGAGGAAAATACATCAGTGCTAACATTTGAAAACGGCACAAAAGCCATTTGTAAACAAATGGTTTGTGGGCCCTTTACTCACTACTTGAAGTACACCCACGCGACACAACAGCAACATCGGGTAGGGGAAATTTTCCCCTTCCTGACGATGCTGTTGGTTTGCGTGGGCATTCTTCGGGTAGCGAGTAAAGGGCCCACAAACCATTTGTTTACAAATGGCTTTTGCGCCGTTTTCAAATGTTAGCACTGACATAACAAATCTATGTCAAACTCATTTTGACAGATCTACTTTCATACATTTTTTAGGTTAGCCAGAGGAAAATAAAAAACAACTTAACACGGCGTTTCTCCTTCTATCACGGTAAGAAAAAAGTACCCAAAATTGAGTTCCTTTCACTCATCACGTGGCTTCCGTGGGGCTAGGTAAAATTAAGTTAAAGAAGAAAACTCAATTTTGAGTAATCCTGATCATGAATCCACGTTGACCAAGTTGACAAAAAAAATAATAAAACGGAGCAGACTGGAACCGAACAATGGACGTTGAGATTACGGGGCCCGTGTGTTGACCACTCGTCTATCAACGCTTGTGAAAATGAAATGGTTAAGGGCCTCAATGAAAATAAACTTATATTTGAGTTCATTTATTATTACTCAATAGTTGAGTAAATTTTACCCAACGCCGATTTTCTGATTCACTCAACGGCGGACCTCAAATGATAGAACCCAACGTTGAGTTTTTTTAACTTAATTTTGAGTATTTTTTTTCTTGCCGTGTAGTGTGCGTGCGTTAAACGTCACTCAGGCCACTGACAAGGCCTATACCAACAGCAGCGTTTGACAGTAGGCAGCATGCCCCGGGCTCAAATCGTTTGTTTTGCTGGTGCTGGGCCCGCTGTCATAATATAACATGTTGCCTACGCGCCTGCCACTGGGCTGACGTCACTAATCTCTATTCGAAAACAACAAAATCATTTTTTTTATTGGCGTTGACGGCACCGTCGAAAAATTTGCTCTTCCAGCAAATTTAGACAGTTTCTTATGGGAATTTTCGGTGGACTGAAATGATAGTACAAAGTCCGCCATGTTTCACGCACAGTCTGACGTTTGCTTATGGATTTTCTCATAGGAGTAAAGAGCTACAGAGTCGCCGTCAACGCCAATTGTCCGTTTCGGGAAAGTAAGAATGGTTTTGCTGATCAGTGTATTGTGTTGGCCCACAACAACCAAGAACGGTGGTGCCCATCCAGTTCAGGATGTCTTTCTTTCAACTCTGTTGCCAGCACCTCATCATCATCGGTAGAATGTGCTCCAGAACGTCCAGAACGGTCGGGATTAAGGTGACTACATATAGGTGTTCTAATGTGTTAAATTCATGATTCAGCCATGTTGGATTTTTGTATGGGACAGCGACCGAGTTTGTTTACAATTTGCTTTCCCCCCCGCGACCTCCTCGCCTATATAGTGACAAAGCTGTATCACCATTTATATACCCACCCACCATGGTCGGGATTATTCGGTAAATCAACTGTTTGAGGACCATTTGGTGTTGAGTTGGTATCGACGTTTACTGAATATGCATAGACAAAATTTTGGATTTCTTTACCTCTCCACGACGTAAGTAAGCAATCGAGCAGTCACAGCAAAAGTAGTGTACGCCTTCCTTTCCAACTGGTATTGCAAAGTAACAAACATCTCAATATCTTCTTGGTCCGGTTTTTTCTTGTCGGCCCAATGTGGTCCATCATCATCGAAATCAATTTGCCTCAATACATGCTTCGCAGCAAACTTCCAAATTAATTTCTTGGGCGCATTTGTCCTCGGTAAAGCCGTCGAAAAATTGATGCTTCGAAGAAGTACAAGTAACTTTCCTCAGCTGCATCTAGCGTACTCGGATCTCATCCTCGAAATTATCAGAAAGAGGAAGAGGAAGACCGTGGAGATGATATCCATTAACCAATGGATATCATCTCCACGCAAATCACCAGTGCCTGACTCTCTCCTCTCCTAAACGTTCCTCATCTTCGTACCTGTGTGAAATTGTGCTGTTTTTAGATAAGGTAATATGAAGTTTGACTACTACTTACGGTCGGGGTTCCATTTCATGATTTTATCGCGTTACATTTCAAACTGTAACTGTTGAAAACAAACAGATAACGACAAATAAATATGGCTGTGTTGACGATTTCGAAGAACATCTTTAGGAAAATCAAAACAATGCAACGTAAACGCAAATCAAAACCATAGTGTATCACGCACATTGTGTTGTCTTGGTTATAGTTGATATGCTTTTCAAAATTTGAAATTTGAATATTTAGGCTGTGTTCCATTTGGTGATTTTTTACTTAAATTTGACAGATGGATTTTTTTAAATAAACCTGCTGTTCCAGCAGACTTATTTCCGACAGACAAGGAAACAATTTTGACAAACGCTTTCTCGAAAATAGGCCGATCAACAACAGAGGGATTTTCGAACATCTTAATTTATTTTCTAAGTGACAAATCTAAGTGAAAATTTTCCAAATGGAACACAGCCTTAATATTTGATGATTATTCAGTCCTTTTTTTCAATTTGAATTTATGACACATACCAATGCTGTTTTTATTTTTCATGATTGTATGCCTATGATTTTCAACTAATTAACATGAAATTGACAAGAAAGCTATTTTTCATATATTCAGTGTAATTTTCATATCGTACCAAAGGCTACATTGCATTGTGAACTTCGCTGAACAAACATTTCATGTCGAGCAACACGTCATATTCATACTATCGGGGTTCTACGGTAATTTGTTGGTTCAGTTTTGTTCGCTAGCAGACAGTCACGCCAAAACAAAGTGATTCAAGCAGTGTTGCCATATTGTCTCAAAGTAATCTATTTTTCCATAATCCGCGCGCGGATTTCCCATCCGCGGCTGCAAATTTCGCATATCCTATACAGCAGGTTGACTCACCGAAGATATCCGGTCACCGATTTGTCACCGTGCCAAGAGACATTGAACGTGCGTGGCCCCGTGTGATTTACGTGAATTTTCAGTGAAACCGACTGACAGCGCCCGTTGCCAATTTCTATTTTCACGCAGCATCACGCCGTCGTCGTCGCCGCTGATGAATCATTCTTATTTACCTATTTATATATGAGCCGGTGTACGGCGATGCGGTGTTCTGAGAATCAACCTAACCTAACGGCTTTCTCACGGCTAGGTCATTCTGGAATGGATTGGTCCATTTTTTTGGACCGAAAGAATTTGACAGCTGATTGACGCACCGCCGTGCATGGTTGCCAGCTACGGCGTGCAGTGATACGATGATCACTCTCGCACAAGCACAGCTAAACAGCTTGCTGCGATCGATCATACGTCATCGAATTAATGTCGAAAAACGAACAAGGAACGGCTCATCGGTCCGGTCTAAAAATAGCTGTCTATATGACTTTCGGAGACGGGGGCTGTAGAACGTGCTTGCGCTTTCTGTTGTATCAACAAATCGTTTAATTTTCATGACGAATACTAACGTACCGCCTATAGTTGGATAAAGAAAAAAAAGGTTTAGTGCACATTGCTCAATTATTGCATGCGCGAACGGCTACGGACGCGGCGGAAGTGTGTGCGTTGCGGCTGCCAGATTCGAAATCCTCCCGATCGGAGTCCGTTTGTGCGGGATTATTTTTAGTATTTGTTTTGAAAACAGAACAAATGGTCGTCTGTCGGCGGCAGCCTGCTTGCTGGCTTGCTGCTGCTAAAGGTAGATTCAAAAAGATGGAATCGATTTTCCGCTCCGTTTAACGCCATAAGTGATTCTGTCATCCCACGTGTAAGACGGTACTCTAAAAAATCGGTTTTGTTTTGTTTTCGTTTCAGGGTCATAATCGGCGCACCCACGGCCGATACATCCGCCTATCAGGAAGGCGTCATCAACGGTGGCGCTGTCTACCGGTGTGACATTTCCGATGACAACCGGTGCAATCTGATTCCGTTTGACTCCAAAGGTAAGTTGTTTGTTGCCCGTCTAATTTCGCCCAATCCGATTAATGTGTCTAATTTTACCGACAAAAATTGCTGCCCGAACTGCGCGCAATGAGAGGAGCTAACTTGACGAAAGCGTGTAAGAAGTTATTGACTCCGGTCGGAACGTCCCCATCGCCATCATTCTATAATTTCAATTACCGATGCAAAGTGCGATACCTTTAACGACTTGCGCTTTTCCGCTCGCCATCGCCATCGTCGTCGTAGCAGGCGCGGATGCGAATTTTATTGCTTCATTGTGTTCCGCTCTTCCCTGAACAACTGTCAACTGTGTCGTAACTATAGAGGAAATGGTTATTTCGTTAGCGCCGCGTATTTGCAGAAGAAATTTGTCATCGGGGCAATTAAACAGGGAAGTGCGCTGTGTTGGAAAAGTAAGCGCAATCATAAGAGAGGAGGGTGGCGGACAAGCGGGAAAACATGGTCAGTCACGATGCGAAATTGAAATTAAAATTGACAGTCTAGACGCCCGCAAGATAAACAGACACAAAATGTCACAATCTTTTTTGTTCAGTTTGCTCATCAGGCGCGATTGGCTGCTGAGTATGGTGTGAAGTCATCGGCGGTTTTCGGTTCAAATTTGCAGAGAGTTGAGTAATTCTTATTCGGAGGAAAGTGAATCAAATGCATTGTTGACGTGTCACAGGATATGCTTATGAATGCACACACTTAGTTTTATTTGTCGAATCTCGGCAATTTCTGCCAAGTTTTGAACAGTGTTGAGCTACCGGCAACAAGTTTTGTGTGGATTGGAAATGAACCTTATCTCCGTGAGTAAGGTTGTTGGAAGAGGAGCAACTGTTCAATTTGAAACGGACGGATGTCAAACTTAGTTCAAGCAAGAAGTAGTAGCAACAATCAATACCAAACTAACGATTTTAAATTGGCTCACTACTTGACTAGCCTATTGGTCCCAAGCAAACGATTAACTATCCCATTCTAGTCGAAATTCTAGTACTACACAATGTTTGTTTTGATTCGCTATGAAAGTTTGACAGATAAAATGAGGGGTTAGTGGATTTTTCTATGTTTCGAGGAGTGAATCGATTAGCTTGGGACCGAAGAGAGTACCAGAGCTGAGCCAAAAAGTTGAGCACGTAATTTCGGGACTTTCTAGTCTTAGAGTTACCTCTATGGTAGTAGGTAGCTGTAGCATTCAAACATGGTGGTCTGTATCAACAGAAGATTCCCGGCAAACGAGCGATGGTTGCTGGACAAACCCATACGCAGAATTGCCAGCACACATGGCATAGACGTTTGGGCCATCGAGAGGAAACTGGAAACTGTCATTCAACAAATCATCAGTAAGGACTTGGCGAGGGGTATTCAGGTGCGTGACAGCGGACTTCATGACGTTTGCGAACCGTGTCGTCGTTTCCAAAATCCACAGGGAAGAAGTCAACGGCTGTACTTGATTTGATTAATTTGGAGTTGTGCGGTCCAACGGAAGCGTACTCTCTATAAGTTGATTCAAGTATTTCGTCCAGGGACCAACAAAGTCACTTTCAATCGAAAATCGTCAAGCGACGACGAAGCTGTCAACCATCACTTTCAATTGAAAGTCATTCTGTTTTCTCTTCGAGTAGATCCCCTTCAACACCAACAGAATCACTTTCGATCAGTTTTCGTGCTGTTTGTTTTGGCTTGACTCGTGTTCATTTCGTCTTTCATTGTCAAATGAACTTACTTTCGCATTGAAGCGAAGCTCCAAATTCGCGCAGTTTAGCTTGTTCTAGAGACTAAATTGTCTGTATTTCCAATGTCCCAATTGCGGGAGTGAGTGTTACTTCCATGTCCCGATCAGTTTTCTGTGGAATCCACGGTGGAATCCTTCCGATTGCTGGACAATCAACAAAAACAAAAAAGGCCATCAAAATAATGTAAACATTCTTGACTCTAGGCAGTGCTGCCAGAAAAGATTGAAAAATTGGTTCTCATGGTGGTTGAAGGGTGTTTCAGTGAGTCGAAGAGTGTTTTTGATAACACAAGGTGTCAGAGTGACTTACGCCCTGGTAGTGGCTCTTCTTTTCCTTCTACCACTAAATAGATAGTGCGAATAAGAGCGTCTTTTTGATGTTTTGCTGTACCTGTTGTGGACATTAGTACATCCTTTTCCTTAAACTTTTTCAGGACGCCCAGTCTTGCCTCTCATAAGTTATCTTTTTAGAAGTACTGATCTTCACAACATAAAGGGCACCATCAAGGAGCATCAGATTTGATCAAACTATTCGCAGTTCTATTTGTCCCACGCCTCCAGCTGAATGAGGGGTAGAGGATGACACACACACACACAGCAACAAATTGGTGAAACCTTAATAGCGAATTCGTTTATTATCGGGGTTGGAACCAGTTCCAACCCAGTGCGAAACCGAACTTTTTGTCAGTGCGAACCTCAACCTGAGCTAGGTTTTAAAAACAAACGAGCAAACTGACGTTTGTCAGAAAACAAGCAGACCCAATCTTGATACCCGATCCAGGTTGGAACTGAATAATAAACGAATTCGCTATAAGTGTGATAGCAAATAAGTTTCAAAGAAGTTCTTACGAATTGGATTGTGTTGGTTACTTCTCAAATTCTAAATCAGCGCAGCGTGTCCAACTAAAATGATCGTGTGTGGTGGTGCTGGCACTTACATGACGATAAATAAATTGAACATCTCGCTGAAATTTACGATCATCAATTTGCTACTGCCGCGGCTACTGCTACCGACTGACTGACTACTTTGATCTTATTGGTCTTGTCCCGGCGCAGTCAAGATCGCGCACGGCCACGAAAACAAAACAACGTAAACACAAATGGGCACTCATAATTGGACTGATTGCCGGGTATTTATATTTTTTCGCCGCGTTGCCTTGCAATGCAAGGAGGAAGGTATATAGTACGTAAAAGGGTTCTAAATTGCATATTTACAATTTGCATGGTGACTCCGGCAGTGATAAAGTGACAGCAGCGATGCTGGACAAAAGGAGCAAAACAAAGTAGGCGAATGGCAACGTGGTTGTCCTCAACATTTATGCAGCAAAATAACATATTGGCACTTGTCGTTCAAGCCTTGAAAAGAGGAAAGTTGTTGATTTTGAAGGAGATTCAAGTAACTCTATGTCAATTTTTACAGCAAAAGTGAGCGCAATTCTCACGAAATCGTTTTGGGGTCAAAACTCCAACGGAGTCGCGCCTCCGCTAGATCTATGTCGCCAAAGGATAGAATCGTGCCCAACGAACAAGTGGCGTCTCACATTTCAATCAAAACCACGACCGCCGGCGACGATGATGGGCGCTAGCGTCTCAAGTCCTTTTGAAGATTTGCGCAATACCCCGTAGTCGACGCCGTCGTCAGCTCCTTAAAAGGCCGGTCCCACACATGACACACATGCTTCTAATCGCGCAAAGATCAAGCTGCGCGTGACTCAGCTCATCAGCTGCGGAGTACAGTTAAGGCTATGCTGCAGGTTGTCGGTGCCGTCGTCGTCGTGCACGCGGCTTTTGTTTTGAATCAAATTCGGTAGCAGAAATCCGAGCTCGAACCCGCCGAAAACTAATCCCATCGAAAAAGGGAACGGTTTTATTAGCTGGAAATATGATTAATAAGGTTGGACGCTTCCGGCGATGTTCCGAGCAACCGCCGCCGATTGTGGGCGGTCCATGTGCGTGCGGTACGCACACGAACTCGGAACAATGGCTGCGGGTTATAAATGTAATATTTTTATGACATGTTCACTACGGACAGAGCTGAGAACGTAACGTGCCTCGGAGGTGCGACATAAACAATGGACAATAAACATTACCGATACCTCTAACCTCTGATGTGCGGGACAAGAGGGTAAGTATTAACGGAAAGTGCATAAAAATTAGATCGCAGTGTACTGTTGACATCTTTTCGAACAGTGTTGCCAGGTCGCGTCGTCTCGTTTTATTTGATGACGAAAGATTCCAGTCGAAAACGATTAATCCCTTTACGACCTTCGTCCCTCGATTTGAATGAAACCATAGTGACGACGTGAATGACAACGGGCACTCGTAAATATCTATTTCTCTGCTGCCTATGCGGCGTTCAATCGCCATCGGTAATTGAACTGGCACGAACGCGAACGTAATCTCATCTTAATTTTCAACAGCATCTTCTCGAGGGGCTATTTTTACGTCTTCTCCTGTGAACTGAATGCGCGCATGTTGTGTATTTTACTGTAATGGGAGTACAACAACAATACCACACCGCATATCCAAGAGGAGCTCCAGCGAAGGGACGGCGAAGAAGGGGGTATCGGAAATTTATGATATCGGCTTTTATGCGCTGTTTATTGGATGGTTGTTCGAGGCTATCTATATTCATGACAATCGGACGGCACTCTTTCAAAGTTCTAATCGTGGAAGTGTGCGCATTGTTGCTACTGATGAATGCTGGTTGGTTCCGTGTTGCGTCGACGAAATCTTCGATGACGGCTGCGGAATAGATTATCTCGTGGTGGTAACACGTTGGCTGTGATAAGGTTTATAACTTAATTGACACTGATCTTCTTTTTTTTCGTGGGGAAAAATTAAGAAAGATGGTTGTCTAATATTTTATGTGGCAATTTAACTGGTGTATAAGATAATTCTTGAACTGCATTTCAAAGAATCCTTTAAAGTAAAAGTGTTCTGAATTTCAAAGTTCTTCGAGATTCCGAAAGAATTTCCCCAAACTTCATGCTTTTTAATAGAAATTTGTTGATATGACCGCTGCAGCAGCTCTAAAGGGCGAACACGAAATTATTGCGACACATTCAACAGGGCATAACTTTTTTACCATTGGGTAAAAATCAACCAAATTTTGCACACTTTCTCTTTGATGTGTATTGTGTACATGCTGTCAAACTCGAAGTCGTATTTTTCGATTCAACGAAAATGGAGGTGAACCAACGCGAGTTGAGAGAACAAATTCTTTCCAAACACCTGGAATTTCCTGACCTGTCGCACCGGCAGTTG